TTTCTGACTGCTTACATTGTTTCTGACTGTTGACATTGTTTCTGACTTTTTACAATGTTTCTGACTGTTTACAATGTTTCTGAGTGTGAAACTGCGTTTTTCTTGATTTTTTTTTTCCTGTTCTGGTTTGTTTTGGCATTTCGGTTAAAGTCTCTGTTATTGGCTGTAAACTGACACCATGAGTCAGAGACTGTTTTTGTTAGATATGAGCGGGAAAAGCACTGCAAGGGTGGTGACATCACTGAGTGGCACTTAGCGTAGCTTTGCATAGCATGACATAGCATCACTTTGTGTAAATCACCATGCTCTTGTAAGCTTTTAGTGTGGAGAAATGTCTCTTGAAAAAACAAAAAAAAGGTTGTAGGCTCAATCATCCAGGTAGATAACAAAAAAGGTTATATCGTGTCATCTGGACCAGTTTCTTAAAGTGAGAAATGTTTTGTCCCCCATCCAGAGGACTTAATCAGTCTATGGCCTGCCAACCAGATCTGTCCCATAGGTAGCCTCCACTGCCGTGTTTCAAGACAACGTCCTGTTGGAATATCAAAAAGTAGACTTTTAACACATGCAAAACACACCCATCCAAAACAATCAATCATCTTGTACAACAATCAAATGTTTTAGGCCAGATGGACAACTTGCTACTCACAGAAACAGCCTGACAACAACCAAGGCCAATGTGGATGGTCCTCTGGATGGGGGACGAAACATTTCTCACTTAAAGAAACCGGTCCAGATGACACGATTTAACCTGTTTTGTTATCTTGAACAAAAGTTAGCTGACTATTTCACTGACTTTATATGTAGCTGAAGCTAACTCCGCTAAAGGTCTTCAAAGTTAACAAAAACATTAATCTGCTAAATGGAAAGTTAGTTCTGTTTTCAGCATTTAGCAGAACCGTGTCCATCACTGTTGGGCTGACTCCATCAGCTGTAGATTCCAACTCAATCAATACTTTCTGAGAGATTTTATTCAAACTTGTTCAGTGATCATGAGATATTTCGCTAACAATACAAACAGAAACACACAGACGAGCAAAAGCATTATCTTTTACTTTTGACAGCAGACAACTTAACCAGCATTGGATGAAGTTGTCGTTTCATCCTGTGTAAGTAGTTTTTTCCTCACACAACACAACACATCTGTTTTTGCTCTTTTTTCTCTGTATGTATTTAGTCAATTTAAAACAGACCCCCAAAATACTTAGGTCTTTCAAAACGGCTCTAATATCAAATCTTTTCAAAACCCACATATATTCTAATAAACAAAAACTTAACTGACCGAATGGTTTTCAGATTGTGATTTTTTTTTTTTTTTTTACGTTTGTTGATTTTATTGACATTTTTTTTTTATCATAGTTTTTTTTTTTTTCTTACAATCTGCCCTGTAGCTCGACAAACTATGATGTTAACAGAGTCTTTACTTTGGACGAGCAGAGATGTAATAGTTTGGCGTTTAATGTTAATACCACCCCTCTTCAGCTGCAGAGCCTCTAAACACGTATGTTTCCAATTTTCTGTCTGAAGTCGGCTGATGAAAGACAACCCTGCTATCATCCACCTCATTCCAGCCGTGCTTCACCACCTTTTAGGCCCAGCTTCCAGGACCTAAAAGGTGGACTCCTTTAGCCTGGATGTTCACTAATTTAACTGCATCTATAAAGATGGCAAGGCTCCTTTTAATTAACGAAGATTTGCCTCACTCATTAGAGAAACCAGTTTACTGAGGCCACATGCTCCATCAGTTGTGAGATGAAGAGAAGCACCAGGAAATGCTTAGTTGTTTACGGTCTTTCAGTGCATTTATCACCTGGCTGCCAAAAGGCAAATAGTAGTGATTTTGACTTGTATTATGGAAAGTTAAGCTGGATAAATTCATTGTAAAATATCTGCAGTTCTGTATACAAAGATCAGCCATGCTCAAAGAGCTCAGTCACATTATGTTCTGTTGTAACGGAGAGTAAGCATTGTGTTTAATTTCAGCCTAATTGAAAGATTTTTCTGAAGGCTTTCTGAAAGTCTCAAAGGAAATTGTGAAATAATAGAACATTAAATCATAATTTCCCCTAGCGGAGCAGCTTTGGAGCTATTATTTCAACCGCGTTAATTCTGTCTCTTCCCGTCTCCGTTGACAGACGATAGAGAATGGGCTGTGTCCAATGTAAGGATAAAGAAGCAGCCAAACTCACTGATGACAGAGAGACCAGCCTTTCACACAACTCGGGCTACCGCTATGGGTCTGACCCCACACCGCAACACTACCCCAGCTTCAGCGTCACCACCATCCCCAACTACAACAACTTTCACGGTGCGGCCACGCAGGGAGTGACCGTGTTCGGAGGAGTCCACTCGTCCTCGCAGTCTGGGACGCTTCGGTCTCGAGGAGGAACTGGTGAGTTAGAATTTATCGGCTTCAAGTTCAAAAGTCTATTATAGCTCGCATTTTATAGCCACAATTCATAAAAACCTGCGTAAAGTGAAACTAAGAACAGAATTCAAGGATTTGCCAATTTTGTAAACCCATTTTTCTCCACAATGGAACATAATACGAATGTTTCAATGTAGAAACTTTCATTCATCGTTTTAACTTGTATGGCAGCACAACATTTAAAAAAAGACGGGCAATAAAAAATTGTAAAAAGAAGTGAGAAACAGCTGGAGGAGCATTTTGCAACTTATTAGGTTACAGTATTTTCCACCGTATAAGTCACATCAGTCCAAATATGTCTAATAATAAAGTGGAAAAAAGCATAAATACGTCGCTTCGTTGTATAAGTCGCATCTATTATGCGTCACCGCTGACAACCTGGAAATGTGGGCCGGTGTTGTGCCAAATATCGATTGGCTGCCAAATGGCGGGAGTGTGCATGGGAGGACTTTAACAAGAATTTAACAAGATTAACACTTAAAAACAATTATTTGTTTGCTCGAAATTATAGTAAAGGTGTCTCAGTCTAACTTTTCCTTCAGTGTTTCCCCTACCATTATACAAGCGGGGCGCCCCGCCCCGTCAACAGAACCCCACCCCCCACCGCCCCTTATGGGCGGAGTTGCTGCTGCTCTTTAAGAGTGCGGCCTCTTATCCTTTTCAGAATACATAAGAATAAATAAGAGCATTTTAGAGAGACTGATGCTTTCAGAAGAAAACATGGTTCACCAGTCTGAAAAAAAACTCTTTAAACATTGAGGAACTTTTTCAGAATAATGTTCCTCAGTGCAAAGACTGAATGTTAGCAGAACATAATTAAAAGGTCTGCCTCTGATGGTATAGGGGTGCACTATTGCCTATGGCATATGAGAAGGCACCAGAAGAGTATTCAAAGGTTATAAAACAACATATGCTCCCATCCAGACTACTTTTTTCCCAGGGAAGGTATTTAAGCAGTACCACACACTGCATCCATTACAACAGTACAGCTACGTAGTAGAAGAGCTGAAGCGCTGGACTGAGCCCGCACCAGCTGGAAATATTCAGAGCACCAAGAAATGAAAAACCCAGCAAAGAAAACCCAGGACTGTTGAACAGATTCTACTTCAGACCAGAGTGGGACCACATTCTCCTTCAGCATTTCCTCACTGTTTACAGTCTGTTGTTAAAAGAGGAGAAACGTCACAAAGGAAAGCACGGTCCTGTTTAAACCAGTCTGAGATGGTTTACTGCCATCAAATTCAAAATAACACTACTTTCCCCTAAAGTAAGCACAATTTCTTAGCAACAAAACAAAGGTTTAAACTATGTTCAGTTGTGAATAAAATCTAGATCACAATCTGTTTTATTTATGTTTTATCTATTGTATTTAGCAGTGTGGTGCACATTTGTTTCCTCCAGCGTTGTTTAGCACTGAAAACTGAATCTTTCTGCTGAGGATATAAGTCCACAGCCCTCTTGTTAATGGGAACCAGACTGACCTAAATTATAGCCGGGGCTCTGAGGCACATCTGACGAGCAGAAGGACCAGACATGTTGCTGATGAAGAATGAAAAGCTGCCTCAGGTGTGGGGGAAACTGAACATTTAAACGTACATACGACGTATGGGTAACAAATAAACAGCATTTTTGCTTCAAGGTCAGTTTTAATATTTCTGAAGGTGCATCCCAGCAGGACCAGACCACCTGTGCTGAGTCAGCATCATCAACTTGCATGAAAAAGAAATCCCTCCAGGAGGGCAGCTTGAAGCAGCATAGATGTCCAAGATTACAAAACGAAGCAGAGTCAGAGTCATCGTTGCTTTAGTGGGATTTAAATCCAATCAGAAAATAGATTTATTTTACAGTTTTAGACCCATTAAAAGATGCAAGGACTCTTGAGTCATTTCAATCATATAAACATGAAACAAGATCAATGGTTTCCTCCTGCTAAAGCTTGGTAACCAAAAGTTTACCAACATTTTTTTTTAACTAATCCAAGATGATTAATTAGCTATTAAGTTATTAATATCTGCAGAAATTTAACTTGACAAATACAAGTGCTGGTCATAAAATTAGAATATCAAGAAAAAGTTGATTTATTTCAGTAATTCCATTCAAAAAGTGAAACTTGTATATTATATTCATTCATTACACACAGACTGATGTATTTCAAAGGTTTATTTCTTTTAATGTTAATGATTATAACTGACAACTAATGAAAACCCCAAATTCAATATCTCAGAAAATTAGAATATTACTTTAGACCAATAAAAAAATATTTTTAGAAATATTGGCCAACTGAAAAGTATAAACATGAAAAGTATGAACATGTACAGCATCAATACTTAGTTGGGGCTCCTTTTGCCTGGATTACTGCAGCAGTGTGGTGTGGCATGGAGTGGATCAGTCTGTGTCACTGCTCAGGTGTTCTGAGAGTCCAGGTTGTTCTGGTGCCTTCAGCTCTTCTGAATTGTTGGGTCTGGTGTATCGCATCTTCCTCTTCACAAATAATCCATAGATTTTCTATGGAGTTAAGGTCAGGTGTGTTTGCTGGCCAGTTAAGAACAGGGATACCATGGTTCTTAAACCAGGTACTGGTAGCTTTGGCACTGTGTGCAGGTGTCAAGTCCTGTTGGAAAATAAAATCTGCATCTCCATAAAGTTGGTCAGCAGCAGGAAGAATGAAGTTCTCTAAAACTTCCTGGTAGATGCTGCGTTGACCTTGGACCTCAGAAAACACAGTGGACCAACACCAGCAGATGACATGGCACCCCAAACCATCACTGACTGTGGAAACTTGACACTGGACCTGAAGCAACATGGATTCTGTGCCTCTCCTCTCTTCCTCCAGACTTTGAGACCTTGATTTCCAAAGGAAATGCAAAATTTATTTTCATCAGAGAACAGAACTTTGGACCACTCAGCAGCAGTCCCAGGCGAGACGCTTCTGATGCTGTCTCTTGTTCAAGAGTGGCTTGACACAAGGAATGCAACAGCTGAAACCCTTGTCTTGCATACGTCTGAGCATGGTGGTTCTTGAAGCACTGACTGCAGCTGCAGTCCACTCTTTGTGAATCTCCCCCACATTTTGGAATGGGTTTTGTTTCACAATCCTCTCCAGGGTGCAGTTATTGCTTGTACACTTTTTTCTACCACTTCTTTTCCTTCCCTTCGCCTCTATTAATGTGCTTGGACACAGAGCTCTGTGAACAGCCAGCCTCTGTAGAAATAATCTTTTGTGTCTTTCCCTCCTTGTGCAAGTGTCAATCCAAGGAGAACCGGAGCACCAGCCCCACCCCCAATTGCCCCCCAAGGCCCAATACCCACCCACAGCCCAGACCCCAACCAGGCAGCCTACCCCACACCCGCCCCAAATGTCAGACGGAGAATGAGGGTTTAAGGAAGACCCAACTCCTCCCTCCTCCCACTCAAATGAGATGTTGATGCATGTTGTTATATAGTGCATTTAAAATGGGTGGGATGAGGCAGTGACTGGCAAAGACCCACCCCCTCCCCAGAGAGAAGGCAGTGCCCGTTCACCTCCCTAACCTTTGCCCAGAACCCCAAATGTCTACATGCTACATATGAGAGTGGGCACAGGTCCCAGAGGTGAGAATGATTACACATCCCACCCCCTATATGCCACCGTGTGTCCACTCCAGACCCTATATATGCATGTGTCGTGAGAATGTTTTATGTGAGTGTCTAGGTTGTTTGATAAAATTGGGGCCCAGGTCTCCACGAACCACGGAGATGGAGGATCCTCCCCGCAGCTCAGTAGTGCACCTGAACCCCAAGGCCCTGCTTGAGTGGTGGTGTGATGGAGTGGGTGGAGGTAAACGTCGGGATGGGGAGGAACAACTGAGGTGTCTTCAATATTGAACCCTTTCACAATATTCTAATTTTCTGAGATACTGAATTTGGGGTTTTCATTTGTTGTCAGTTATAATCATCAACATTAAAATAAATAAGCATTTGGAATATATCAGTCTGTGTGTAATGAATGAATATAATATACAAGTTTCACTTTTTGAATGGAATTACTGAAATAAATGAACTTTTTCATGATATTATAATTTCATGACCAGCACCTGTACATACACTCCTCTTATTCTGGTCCTAACTCTAGTTACTGGTTGGCAGCTACATGTCTCATTCTTGTTATGAGTTCTGTATGGAGGAACAATGCTGCCTGCTGTGACTGAAAATCAAAACGTTAAAGATGAAGACTAAAATATCCTTACAGTGAGCTGAAAGATGTTGAAATAAACAATACTTCGTTGTTCTCACTCAAGTAATGCATAACCTTTTTTATTATTGTAAAATGTACAAAATAATTAGCATTTTCAATACTCTACAGCATGTTCCTTGTCTTTTAAACTATCATTAAATTGGATTCTGTTATTTCCTTTTTGGTGACTATAATTATTTTACAGTTTTATGTCCTAGTGAGACGCTTGAAAAGCTGAAGTGTTGGTGAATCAGTGGATGGTTGAAAAACACAATAAATTGTGTTTACATTGCATAAACACGTCTTACGTGACGCTGGGCGTAAATAGAAGAATAATAAACTGAAAGCGGTCCTTTTTGCACCTCTGAGGTCTCGAGTTGAACAGCTCATTTAACCAACGTGTTTCCTTTCCTGCAGGGGTGACTCTGTTCGTGGCTCTGTACGACTATGAAGCCAGGACTGAAGATGACCTCAGTTTCAGGAAGGGGGAGAGGTTCCAGATCCTCAACAGCACGTAAGTTTGCAAACATCTGCCTGACGGCATCGAGAGGGTGGTGGTCGTGTCCTCCTTCCACGCTTTTTGATCTTTCGCCAACATCTGAAACTTGAATCTGGGACACGATGTCGTCACACAGTCAAAGACACGCTCACTGATCTCTGTGTTTGAGATTTGTACAGCTTTTTAAAATATATGTTCTTTATTTCACAGTTCAATCAGGGCTTTACTCCTCCTGATAGGAACTGGCCTCTATTAATAGAGAAAATGACCCTTGTGCTGCCCTTATGCTCTAATCTTTGTCAAAAACAGTCACTGTTGAGCTGCGATTATACCTTGAAGTCAAAAACTTCAACTTTTCTGACAATTTTCTTCATTATAATATTTCTTTAGATCTAACAACGTAAAGTCAGGTCCTCTGGACAGATTCTTCTTGTTGAAACGTTTAGTCTTTTATTCAAAAGGCTGTCAGTCTGAGGAGATGCAATAAACTCCATCCATCCATCCATCCTCTTTACTTGCTTCTTCCTTTTCAGGTTGCAATAAACTCAGTCTTATAAACAGCACCTCATCAACCAGTTTACTGGTGACAGCCAGAACTAGTCGTTCACATGGTAAATGAGGACCATCAGCCTAATGATGATCGTTATGCTGATCAATGAAGATGTTCACATCCTGGATAGAGAGCAACGATGGTTTGAGAGAGGAGAGAAGGAGGCCATCTTTGAAAAGAAACCATCCATCATCAAACAGGGGTGGAGGCCTCCGTGTTCAACTGTCCCCCTCTTACAATGCTGTGATTGCTAGCATCACTCAGCATCTGTCAGGGCACTAGTGATCAACTGTTAAGCTGGTGGTCCACCTTTATCATGTGAACAGCTAGTTTTGGATGTCACCAGAAAACTTGTTGATCTACTATGAGAAGGTGCTGTTTAAGGTCCCACTTACACGACGTTCGGCTGTTCATCTACACGACAACAGCCCTCATTCTCTCTGAAACCCAAGGTTTCTGAATCCAGGTCTCAGAGTGGAAATACTCCGCAAGTGTGAAGTCGCACATGCGCATTACAGGCGGCTGCAGTCCAAATTTTTTCTGCACTAACAGCAGTTAAATCAAGGTCAAGGTTCTTTATTTGTCATTTGCACCACATGTGGTACATGTGATGGAACAAAATTGTGTACACAGGGTCCCAGTTCCATTCAACAAAAGTATAAAATGTAAAAGAAAAACAGTAATAAGATCTAAGATATGAACTAAGAAATACACTAAGCACTAGTAGTACAAAACAATGCACCGAACAACAACAGCAGCACGAACATGAGTCTGTGTGAGCAGACGAGTACAAGTGAACACAGCAGTATAAATAAATCAGCAGCATGAGATCAGCAGCACATATCAACAATTAAGTGACATTACAGTGATTATTTCACTGTGATTATTCTGGTTAGAGGTTCATGAGTCTAACAGCAACAGCCTCAGGGTAGAAGCTGTTCCTCAGTCTAGTGGTTCTACACTTAATGCTCCTCAACCTCCTGCAAAAGAAATGGCAGAGATCAGACTGTTTGGTTCTGCTGGAGGTTTCTTCCTTTCAAAAAGGAGTTTTCCTTTCCACTGTTGCCATTGTTCTTGCTCAGGATGGGAGATTGTGAAGATGTGAAGATTCAACTTGTCTGCTGATTCCTTAGACAGAGAACTTTACTAATTGGCTTTTCTATGCATGTGAATGTTCCTGTAAAGCGCCCTGAGACAACTTTGTTGTGAATTGATGCTATATAAATAAACTGAATTGTTTTTGTGCTACTCACCCATTTTCGGCTTGTAAGAGCAAAACTCATAAAACCCGGAGTCCAAAGAGACGTTAGTGTATTCACCAGTTTGGACAACTGTGATCATTCAGACGTTGCATTCACAATGAGGGTTGCCAGATAAATTTAAATGTCTTTTTTACCCCCTCCTTTTCTGTAAGGATGCACTGATCCACTTTTTTATACTTCCGATACCGATACCTGCGTTATATGTGTCCGACGATACCTATCCGATACCGTTCAGATACAGGAAAAACTGTGCTGAATTAACAGACATGGCTAAATCATGTCATCTGGACCTGTTTCAGAAACGGGTCCAGATGACATGATTGAGCCATTTTTTATTGTTGTCTACCTGGATGATTGAACTTACAAACCCAGTGCTGAATTAACTTAAAAGACTTGTCGATGCGCACGTATTGCACGTAGCTGTCAAATGTGTTGGCTGAGGTAGTGTGCAATAGTTCCAGATGGCTGATCCTTTAACTCGCTCCATTTTGAAAACCATCTGCGGCGAGTTCGGTAGCGCGTGACGTCACTCAGAGCACAAAGCATAGAATTAGAGTGAATAGATCTGGATATAGATCGGTCACATTGTCACGATACTCGATACAGAAGTTTTTCGATACCTGGCCCGATACCGATATTTGTATTGGATCGATGCATCTCTACTTCTCTGTGCACATGTTCAACAATTACAACACACACCTCATCTTAGAATATCTTTACTCAGCACATATGACCGTTTAGGTTAAAGCCACAGTACTATAGTTCATAATTTCTTATCTGGCAACCTGACTGACATGGAAAATACAGCGTTCTATTTCATATAGGCTTCGCCCTTTAAGGCTTTCGCTTAGTGGGAAACTAAGCGAAAGCCTTAAAGGGCTACGCCTATACTCATAGAATCTGGGGTTACAGTACGTAACCAACGTTTTTGTATAAACCAGCTCATTGTTTTGTTTATTACCCCCAATAAACATTGAAAAAACACTAAAGTTTCTAGAGGTTGTTCTCGTGTAAACCGGTCCTAAGACTGAGTTTGTTGCAGCTCCTCAGCCTGACGAAGTCTTCTGGATAAAAGACGAAATGTTTCAACAAGAAGAGTCCATCCAGAGGACCTGACTTTTAATTTTTTTTAATTTTTCCAACTGGATTATTGAGCAGCATCAAGATATTTCCTTAGATCCATTTTGATGTAGAAACAGTGATAAGAGGATTTGTTGCTGACTACGTTCACATTTCCCCTCACTTCGTTTTGTTTGTTTGTCAAAAATCATCTGAGAATTTCTCACAGTTATTGTTTCCTTGCCAGCGCATGCTTTCTTTGTAACAAAGTCTGACAAATCTGTATCAATCCAAGGCCCTTGGAAAACTTTTTTTTTTTTCCAGAGTCACCAATAAAGAGTGAGCAGCACCTGTTGTTGTCCATTAAAGGTGCTCAGCGCTTTCAGTCAGAGCTGCCATATGCAGCTCACACACGTTGTTGTTGTCGAAAGTACAGCACTGAGTAGTTTGTTCCTACATTGATGTATAAATTAACAAGTTGTTACAAATCATTTCACTTGCTAGATCTATCATTTTATCATGCACCTCTGTTTTACCCCTTTAATGTGTTTTCAGAGAGGGAGACTGGTGGGAGGCTCGATCTCTTACTACAGGTGGAACTGGATACATTCCCAGTAATTACGTAGCTCCTGTGGACTCAATCCAAGCTGAGGAGTGAGTGAAAACTGTTCTCACCCACATCTTTATTCTGGGAGGCACGGCAGCTCCGTCAGCAGGGAGCTTATCCTAAATAATATAGACAATACAGCAAAATGATTTAAAACAAATGTTGGACTTCATCGTTTGTTTTCTCCTCTCCTGCAGCTGGTATTTTGGTAAACTGGGTCGAAAGGACGCAGAGAGGCAGCTCCTTTCCGGTGGCAATGCCAGAGGCACTTTTCTCATTCGAGAGAGCGAAACAACCAAAGGTACTCCCAGCGACGTGCTGACACGAGGACTGGGTTTCAAATGCAATGGTTTGAAAATCCCATCAACTCATATTTTGTTCACAAATCAAATGTTTGCTAAGTTCTACCATTTTTAGGGAAGCAAACAATACGCCCATGTCCCCCCGACACTGAGGGATTTGAATAATGAATGTTTTTAGTTTTTGAGGTTAATGTTTTCTGGACTGGAGCTGAACAACTTAAGTAAGTTAAGTAAGTAAAACTTGTGTTTTTGGTGCAAAATATTAAAGTGGGGATGAGTTACACTGTGGACAAGAACAAAGGGAGGTTTATTTGTCTTTTTTTGCTTGTCCGAGGCGGCACATATTGACGAGTCCTGGCAGGTAGAGAGAGCAATTTTATCCACCACCAGTAGCAGTGGTGGAGCCAAGGGGTGGCAAATGGTGGCCTTGGCCAACATAGATAAATCTTGGGCCACCCCAGTCATCTGAAGAAACTTTTTATTTTTAAACAATATAAAACCTAGAAAGCATAGTTTCCTCAAATGTTTGGAGCGGCCAGTTTACATTTCTACGTGGCGGTCACCATTTTGGATTTTGATGTGGCAATCCAATTTTCAATAGTGACCTTTCTTATGCCTAGATGCACCCACACACCAAAATGGAAGTCAACACATTGCTTAATTTTCCAATTACCCAGCTCACAATACTAACCAGACGGACGGAGGGTATTTTTCCAAGTGCCATCTTGAATCCACGACAGGGCTCAAAAAATGAGGCGATTATGAATTTGATGACAGCAACACGTCTGAAATCAAGAAAAGACTGGACAGTGTTCACTACTGTGAAGTATTTCCCTTCTTTTAAAAACAGTCTGTTAACATTTAGGGACTGAGTAGATGCTGGAGCTTTAGGAGTTGAATGTTGTCCCATTCTTGTATGATGTACTGTAGGATTCTAGCTGTTCAAAAGTTCTGAATGGGACAAGATGGTCTAAAACCTGTACTGTATTTTTCGGCCTATAAGTTGCAGGTTTTTGCATAATTTGCATGCCCTGCGACTTATAAGCCGATGCGATATATTTATGGATTTTTTTCACCATATTTATAATCCAATTTTTGGCTGAGATATGACCGTTTTCATTCATTCTGACTGAAAACAAAAATTGAACAGTACTATTTTTAACCACTAGATGGTAGCAGAGTAGTAGTAGCTGTATAACATGACATTTTATCATGTAATAGGTAAAATGTGGCTATAATGACAAATTCAAAAAAGTTCAATACAAAAACAACTGGACTTTATTTATTATACAAACCGGATTCCAAAAAAGTTGGGACATTAAACAAATTGTGAATAAAAACTGAATGCAATGATGTGGAGGTGCCAACATCTAATATTTTATTCAGAATAGAACACAAATCACAGATCAAAAGTTTAAACTGAGAGAATGTATCATTTTAAGGGAAAAATCTGTCGTTTCCAAATTTCATGGCGTCAACAAATCCCAAAAAGTTGGGACAAGTCCATTTTTACCACTGTGTGGCATCCCCCCTTCTTCTTACAACACTCAACAGACGTCTGGGGACAGAGGAGACCAGTTTCTCCAGTTTAGAAATAGGAATGCTCTCCCATTCATGTCTAATACAGGCCTCTAACTGTTCAATCGTCTTGGGCCTTCTTTGTCGCACCTTCCTCTTCATGATGCACCAAATGTTCTCTATAGGTGAAAGATCTGGACTGCAGTCTGGCCAGTTCAGTACCCGGATCCTTCTCCTACGTAGCCATGATGTTGTGATTGCTGCAGAATGTGGTCTGGCATTATCGTGTTGAAAAATGCAGGGTCTTCCCTGAAAGAGATGACGTCTAGATGGGAGCATATGTTGTTCTAGAACCTGAACATAGTTCTCTGCATTAATGGTGCCTTTCCAGACATGCAAGCTGCCCATGCCACAAGCGCTCATGCAACCCCATACCATCAGTGATGCAGGCTTCTGAACGGAGCGTTGATAACAACTTGGGCTATTCTTGTCCTCTCTGGTCCGGATGACATGGTGTCCCAGTGTTCCATAAAGAACTTCAAATCGTGACTCATCTGACCACAGAACAGTCTTCCATTTTGCCACACTCCATTTTAAATGACCCCTGGCCCAGTGCAAACGTCTGAGCTTGTGGAGCTTGCTTAGAAATGGCTTCCTCTTTGCACTGTAGAGTTTCAGCTGGCAACGGTGGATGGCACGGTGGATTGTGTTCACTGACGTTGCTTTCTGGAAGTATTCCTGAGCCCATTCTGTTATTTCCTTGACAGTGGCATTCCTGTTTGAGATGCAGTGACGTTTAAGGGCCCGGAGATCACGAGCATCCAGTAGAGTTTTACGGCCTTGACCCTTACGCACAGCGATTGTTCCAGATTCTCTGAATCTTTTGATGATGTTATGCACGGTTGATGATGATAACTTAAAAGTCTTTGCTATTTTACGCTGGGTAACACCATTCTGGTATTGCTGCACTATCTTTCTGCGCAACAATGGTGGAATTGGTGATCCTCTTACCATCTTGGCTTCTGAGAGACACTGACACTCTGAGAAGCTCTTTTTATACCCAATCATGTTGTCAGTTGACCTAATTAGTGTTAATTGGTCTTCCAGCTGTTTGTTATATGCTCAATTTCCTTTTTCCAGCCACTTATTGCTGCTTGTCCCAACTTTTTTGGGATTTGTTGACACTGTGAAATTTTGAATCAACATATTTTTCCTTTAAAATGTTACATTTACTCAGATTAAACTTTTGATCTGTCATCTATGTTATATTACGAATAAAATATTGACATTTGCCATCTCCACATCATTGCATTCAGTTTTTATTCACAATTTGTTTAGTGTCCCAACTCTTTTGGAATCCGGTTTGTACTTTATACTTTATTGTTTTTTCTTGAACTTTTTTGAATTTACCATGTCCTGGATGACTGAGAATCTTCACCAGCTATCGTTTTGCTCGCTGCTTGTAGCGAAATGCAGCTAATTTGACCATTAATGTGCATTTATTAAGTAAAAGTTCAACTGAGACACACCTTTTCTATAATTTCGAGCCAACAAATCATTGTTTTAGGTTATTTTCTTGTTAAATTTCGAAGACACGAGCAGCGTTCGTCTTTCCTATTCTTCTTCCCTCTGCACGCTCCCGGAGCACAGAGGCAGCGAATACAGCTGATTTGACCGATAAAGTCCTTTTATTAAGCAAACGTTGGACTGAGGCACACTTTTAAAAGGATTAATTAATAATTTAACTTTAATAAACAGTTTTAATAAACAACAATAAATGAACATTTAATAAAATGATTGAACTTTTTTAGATTTTTGTACCTGGATTATTGAGCATGCATCAGGACAAACAAAGTGTTTTTAGGTGATTATCTTGTTATATTCTGATGAAATGCACAGAGAGTTGTCCCTCGGCGTGCCCCTGCAGCTGCGAATGGGCTTTTGAAACGCAGCTGATTTGACCATCAAAGTGCATTTATTAAGCAAAGTTAGACTGTGACACACCTTTACTATAATTTTGAGCAAACAAATAATTGTTTTTAAGTGTTAATCTTGTTAAATTCTTGTTAAAGTCCTCCTGTGCATGCTCTCATGGCCGCCTTTTGGCAGCTCATCGATTTTTGGCACAACACCGGCGCACATTTCCAGGTTGTCAGCTGTGACGCATAATGGATGCGACGTATACGGTGAAGCGACATATTTATGGATTTTTCCACTTTTTTAGACATATGTGGACTGATGCGACTTATAGGACGGTGCGACAAATACGGTATATAATTTCTGCACTGATGATGCCTTTCCAGATGTGCACTCTGTTTATGCCAGAGGCACCAATGAACCCCTATACCGTCAGAGAAGCAGGCTTTTGAATAGTTTTTCTAGACTGGTGAACCTCTGCCCATCTTTACATCGGAGAGATTCACACTCTCAAAAAGTATTTTTTTATACTCTTATTGACTTGTTGTCAATTAATTAATTAGTTTCAAGTTTATTTATAACACTTAATTTTACAGCCTTTTGTTGACCCTGACCCAACTTCATTAAGATACGTTGCTACTATGAAATTCAAAGTTACATAATTTTTTTTTCATAATAATGGTACAGTTTCTTGGTTTTAACATTTGATAAGTTTACAACGTTCTATTGTGGTATAAATATAGATTTATGAGATTTTCAAATCATTACATTTTACACAATGTCCCAACTTTTTCCAGAATCGGGGCGGTGTATAGGAACACATAAATGTGGAAAAGGAATCCAGTTTTATGAAACATAAAACACAGCAACTTTAAATATATTTAACATCTCTAGCTGATGTTCTGCTTTTGAAGTATTCCCACACCTGGAGGTCTTGTTTGAACTAACACGGTTGTTTTTAACGTACGGTTGTATTTCTTCTGTTTCAGGGGCTTACTCTCTCTCCATCCAGGACTGGGATGACATCAAGGGAGACCACGTGAAACACTATAAGATTCGCAAACTGGACAATGGGGGCTACTATATCACCACCAGGGCCCAGTTTGAGACGCTCCAACAGCTGGTTCAGCACTACTCTGGTGAGGCCGCTGCCCTAATGTGTGCAGAAACGCTTTGCCGTGACACTTCTGGTCTTTTTTCCTTCCTTGAGATCAAAAGTTTCCGTACTTCCCTTCAGCCAGGGCTGCAGGGCTGTGCTGCCGACTGATCGTGCCGTGCCACAAAGGCATGCCTCGTCTCACGGACCTGTCCGTCAAAACCAAAGACGTGTGGGAGATCCCGAGGGAGTCGCTGCAGCTCATTAAACGTCTCGGCAACGGCCAGTTTGGAGAAGTCTGGATGGGTGTGTATCTTTTTGGCACGAACGAAGCACTGGACAGATGTTCAAAGTTGTTCAGCAGCTGTATGTGCGAGTTCAGTGAGAAAAGTTTTTATTTTTGCTGTAATACCGAATCAAAATTTGACAGATGTTTTCAAACTGAATGCTGCAGTGAAAATAATTTTTGAACACCACATTTTTTGTAGTGGTTTAAGAAAATGTAACTGAATTCAGGTTAAATATGAACCATTTTAATCACAATTGCTCTATAAATAAATATGACTTGACTTGACTTGACTTGAACATGAATATATATATTCTAAAAGTAATTTTAGCACAGATATAATTATTATTTTTTGATCAGGCACCTGGAACGGCACCACCAAGGTGGCAGTGAAGACTCTGAAACCTGGCACCATGTCACCCGAGTCGTTTCTGGAGGAAGCTCAGATCATGAAGAAGCTCCGACACGATAAGCTGGTGCAGCTCTACGCCGTGGTGTCCGAAGAACCCATTTACATCGTCACTGAGTACATGAGCAAAGGTACAGGCTGTGGTTTAGGTAACTCTAGCTAAAAGCTAAAGAGGGAAAACAGCAGCTAAAACCTAAAAGAAGCAAAATGCCAGCCAAACGCTAATAACAACAAAACAGTAGCTAAAAGCTAAAACTGGCAAAAACTAACTAAAGCTAGCTAAGGTTTAGCTAAAATGTAAAAGAAGAAAAAGGCTATGAGGCAGATCAGTTGCTAAAAGTAGCAGAACAGTAGCTAAAAGCTAAAATAGCCAAATGCTTGCTAAAAGTAGAAGCAATACAATCCAACATTTTTCAGTCAGGTCATCTGGACAGTTTCTTTTCTTTTTTTGTGCTGAAACGTTTCACCTTCGATCCAGAAGGCTTCATCAGTCAAGGAAACGCACAACAAAACTGATTCTTCCCCCAACAGCTGACTCTAAAGTGGAACAAACCAGTTTGGTTAGTGCTAGATGGTCTGTTTGGATTATTGAGCATGGACTTTGTTGTTTTCAACCAGTTTGACATGACTGTCAACAAGGAAGAGGGCCGGCAATGGAGGAGGGGCGTACCAAAGAGACCATCTTAGCACCAACAAAACTAGTTTGTTCCACTTTGGAGTAAGCTGTTGGGGGAAGAATCAGTTTTGTTGTGCGTTTCCTTGACTGATGAAGCCATCTGGATCGAAGGTGAAACGTTTCAGCACAAAAAAAAAGAAAAGAAACTGTCCAGATGACCTGACTGAAAAATGTTGGATTGTATACCTGGATTATTGAGCATGGACTTTGTTGTTAGAAGAATACTAGCTAAAAAATTTTTTTTAAAAGATAGATAAAAGCTAAAACTAACAACAAGTTAGTTAGAAATTTTTTTGTTAATTAGAAACTAAATGTAGCAGAACAGTAGCTAGCAGCAAAATGCTAGCTAAAAAGTAAGTAGCTGAACAATAGGTAAAGGCAAAAGTAGCCAAATACTTACTAACAAAAACATAAAAAGACCTAAATATTTACTACGTAAGCTGAAACAGAATTCAAGGAAAACAAGGAATGAGCTGAAGAGATCTTTATATATTTCTATTGGGAACTGTTACATTTTAGTAAAAGTATAAAAGTTTCAAAGCACAGAGTCGGAGCACCATCCCCTGCATGAGTACACAAAGTATGCAGAAGTCATCAGTTTCTTTTCTGCATGTTTTTTAATCAGGAAAACGATTAAGAGTTCAGAAAAGCAACGTCCGACAAAAATGTACTTCTTCACTCCGTGAACTCTGACTTGACAGCTGTCAAAGTTATCTATGACATCACATCTACAATTTTTTGATCTTAAATATTTTTGTCTCAATTTCAGGAAGTTTGCTTGATTTCCTTAAAGACGGAGAGGGCCGAGGCCTCAAACTGCCGAACCTGGTGGACATGGCCGCTCAGGTGAGCTGCTCATTTACGTCGTCGTTTTTTTTACTTTGAATTTCATTTATCAACAAATTAATTTGACCGGCCTCAGTTTTTACCAGTTTGTCCAGTTTAGCACACTTTTAGCCATTTTCATTTAGCTTTTTACATTTGTCAAATGAAATGTTAATGATCCCTCAGTGGCAGCAGTTCTGTGTTTACAGATACAACTTAAACGTAGTAAAGTGTTGTTTACTCATTCAGCACGTCTGTCGTCTTTATTTAGAAACTGACTGGATAAAAAAGTCTCGTTTAGCAATGAACTGTTTAATGATGTGATGCTAAATGGAGAAAAATAACTCCATCTCCCAGGTGGCAGCAGGGATGGCGTACATCGAAAGGATGAACTACATCCACAGAGACCTGCGCTCAGCCAACATCCTCGTCGGAGACGGCCTTGTGTGTAAGATCGCTGACTTCGGCCTGGCGAGGCTCATTGAGGACAATGAATACACAGCCAGGCAAGGTAGGGCCTTTACTACCACTCCACAGGTTTTTATTCATTCTTTCATATTCATCTAGTTCTAAACATCTGCACTTTACTATTATTGTAGTAGAACACAAAAGCACTGCAAACTGGGTCAGAATCTCTGAAAAGTAATGCCTCGTGCCTAGGAATGCTGCTTTTATGCTGAAACGTTCTCAAATAGTCTTTATTATGCTGAAAAATGATGACATCATAGCCATTTTGGTTCAACCTTAAAACACATGACTCTCAGCTACTACCACATCTACATGTGGCCCAGTGTCTGTAAAACAGACCGAGTTCGAGCCATTTTTGTGTTGGCTCAAGTTGATTAACTGTGGCGACCGTCTTGAATTGTTTGACTCCCAAAGTTAAATCAGCTGTAAACGTGCTTCCACTGATTACTTTTCAAAAGTGTCATTGAAATCCGTTCAGCGAGTTCTTTTGACAACAGACGAACAGACTCCAACTCTTAATGCCAGAGATATGTTGTGCAATGATTAGCACTTGCAGTAAGTGTTGAGGACTACTCTCATCTACAATCATAGCAAATCTAAAAGCGACTCAAATAAATCGATGCTTGTGTTTTTTCTGAAGAGCCATTTTACATGAGATCGTCTCTGAAGTGAATCTGTTGTAGTTGGACATCCAGTGACAGAAACACGCCCAGACCCAGTCAAAGACCTTGTCTTCGTGTGAGCAGGTTTATGGTTTTCTTGGCTGGGACGTATCTTCACAGCGCTGACGCTGAGCGTCAGACTGGAAGCACAGCGAGACGTCTGAACACGACCGAAGTGCTCTTTGTCTCGCTGAGCGCTCGTTCCTGGAGCTCACCGTCAGCAGGAGAGCTGGGCAGTTTTACACGCTGAGTGGATTTGTTCTGGTGGAAACCAGGAGTGTGCAGTGGGAGCTAACTGCAGCAGACTTCAAGACCCACTGTAGGTTTTTATTAAACCATAGCTCAAACCACAAATGGCGTCAATTTTGTTCCAGATCAGACTCGAGCTGCATGGACGTCACTTCCTGTTGATCTGTTCATTTAGCGGCAGCTCGGTGTTTGATTCTTTAACCGGGACAAAAGCAAACTCGTACGGACAAAAGTAATGAAGTGGTTCCCTGGAGGGGGATGGTGTCCGTACGTGCGTGTGCGCCACACGAACCACAGATGAAGGTCTGCAGTGAACGCCGACCTACTTCCTCTTTAAGTGTTTCTGCAGGAGCTGCAGCAGAGAAGCAGCAAGCCGTTATGGAAACTCCTCCAGCGTTCTGTTTGACGTGCTGTTTTGTTTCAGGAGCAAAGTTTCCCATCAAGTGGACCGCTCCCGAGGCCGCGCTCTACGGGAAGTTCACCATCAAGTCCGACGTGTGGTCCTTCGGTATCCTGCTCACCGAACTGGTGACCAAAGGCAGAGTGCCGTATCCAGGTGAGACCACGGAGTCGTCTGTCGTTTCATGACGGAGAACGTAAAGAAGGAATCGCAGTTGGAGCTGTGTTTGTGTTTGGCTAAAGTCTCAGTGTGAACTGTGTTGACTCCAACACTTGATAAGTCGTAGATAAACATCTAATGATTGCTTTCTGAAAGTTTGATTAAAATCCAGCCAGTTGTTCTTAAAATATTTTGCTAACAGATGGACACTTTTAACACTTACTAGTTACTGGGGAAGTTTTAAAAGCAAATATTGCACGATCCATTACATCATAGATTATATGCTGGAGACGAGTCTCAGCTACTACCAGACCCAATCTTTAGCTCAGTTCCTGTAAAACTGGCTAACTTCTCTCATTGTTGTGTTTTCTAAGACTAGTTGGCTCGGGTGGCCATCTTGAATTGAGCCGACTCTAAACGTTAATCAGTTAAAACTGTTCGTCCACTGATTAATTTCTGAGAATTTCAGTAAAATCTATCAAGTGGTTCATGAGATATTTTGCTAACAGACACGGGTCTTTCAGTGGCAGGGAATAAAAGGACACTAAATATAATATTATAAACGGAGAACCGTTCTTAGAGACGGCAGTTTGTCTCGTCTAAGAGCAGCTGTTTTGCTCCAAATGATAACATAAATATTTTTGTCTGCTTCTCCTCCGCAGGCATGAACAACCGCGAGGTGCTGGAGCAGGTGGAGCGAGGCTACCGCATGCCGTGCCCGCAGGACTGCCCCACGTCTCTGCACGAGCTGATGGTGCAGTGCTGGAAGAAAGACCCCGAGGAGAGGCCCACCTTCGAGTACCTGCAAGCCTTTTTGGAGGACTACTTCACAGCCACTGAGCCTCAGTACCAGCCGGGAGACAACCTCTGAGCACGTCACGTGATGACGCCGGATGTCCACCAGAGGGCGCCACCTTCTTCTTTCTCATCTTAGGAAAGCTTTTTGACTTCATGAATTCCAACCGAGGAGGAGCAGCAACCCCACCATGAAATGAAAGGATGCTCTGGGTTTGGGAGGGGGGGGTCAGAATTAATCACCCTGAGTTATGTTTTGGGATGTGTATTTAGTGTAAATATAAATTGCTTGTTTACTTTTTGTTTGTTTCATTTTATATTTTGATCATTTGGGAACACGTGGGGTTTGTTTTTACGTTCTAAGGTTAGGATGATTCAGATCCTCGCAGCTAAGAGTAAAAGTTGGTACGCTAATAGACGTCGTGGAGCGAAGCAGCTCTGAAATTCTTCCGGGAGTTCTCCGACCTTTTTTTTTTTTTTTTTATATATATATATATAAGACTAATACAATTCTCTTCTCTTCTCAAGGAACTTTAGATGTACTTACAAAACCTGTTCTTGCCTTTTCATGTTTAGTAAAATTCTTCTAATGCAAAGGAATGCCTTCATGCTTTCTACACTAACCCCGCCCGGGCTCAAACTGTATGACATCATCACTGATATTAACTGCATTCGTTGCATTTCGGCTTCAGACAATGATTTTTAGAGCGGCTTAATGTACCTTTTAGTTTAGCTTTGTGTAGTTAACATGGGGCTGATTTCTTCGCCTGCTGAAACCATTGTTTAGCTGTTTGGCGGTGTATGTTGCGTTCACGTTTGGCAGCAGGCTGTATACAAACTTTATGTTTTAGCTTCAGCGGCCTGACAAACGGCCGCTGACCTCATGAGAATGAAGGACGTGTTCTCGTGTTTGTCCCTCCATCCTGTGTATTTTTAAACATGTTTACAGCAGCATTTTTTATAATCGATCAGTGTTATACGTTGCAGGTTTATTTGTTTTTATGTTTTGATTTGGTATTAAAATCATGTCTGGGTGAGAACCTACACTTCAGGATTAAAGCGCCATTCCTCTATTTATGTTGATTTCCATCCAAGTGAGCGGTAACTTGTTTCTTTTTAATCTCCTTTTTTCCTAATTTATCAGGCACACGAGAAGGTTTTGGATCGTTTCATTATTTATTGTCCGTCTGCTACTTGTACACAGCTGGTTTTGAAATAAACAACCTTGCAATTATTACAGATCTGGTTTGACGATGTCTTAAAAAAATGTTCTTATCTGTAACAAAAAAGGTTGAATCATGTCATCTGGACTTAGTTTTTTGTTCAAAAGAAACGTTTCGCCCCTCATCCAAGAGGCTTCGTCAGTCTGAGGCCTAGCCATCTGGTATTACCCAGAAGCCTAACTCCAGGGGTATCTGAGGCAGGCTTGAAACACAAGAGTCAGGGTGGCTTCTGGGTAATACCAGATGGCTAGGCCTCAGACTGACGAAGCCTCTTGGATGAGGGGCGAAACGTTTCTTTTGAACAAAAAACGAAGTCCAGATGACATGATTCAACCTTTTTTGTTGTTATATACCTGGATGACTGAGAAAACAAACTTTGTGTTCTTATCTGTAGTTTTGATTATCCATGAAAATAATGTTCTGTAGCGTCGTGCTTGGTTCGTGTTGGGACTGACTCGCCTTCACCACGGCACAGTTCATGAGTTATGGCCGTTTATGTTTTCTACGGTTCATTAGCTGTGACAACCATCTTTAAAAAAAGTTATCCAACATTTAACCAGTTGCAGAAATACATCCAGTGATTACTTCCTGAGGGTTTCATTAACATCTGTTCATTGCGTCATGAGATATTTTGCTAACAGACAAACAGGGTTGACTCGCAACAGATAATGCTGATGGTTTTAGCAAAAATCTTGTGCGGTGAACATCAGAGTATGTGTTGCATATAACTCTCAGCTACTACCACACCAAACTTCAGCTCAGTATCTGCAAAGCTGACTGGATTAAAACCAGTTTAGTGTTCTTTAAGGGCAGTTGGACTTGGCGGCCACAGTGCTTACTTTGTAAGTTTCATTCACATTTATCCAGTGGTTCATAAAATATTTTGCCATCTTGAATCAGGTTTTCTGCAAATATTAATCGGTCGTAGACGTTCATCCGATGAAAACTTTGGGTTTTCAATCAAATCTGTGCACTGGTTTAAGGGATATTTTACTAACAGACACCTGTAGTTCCATGACGGCCTGCTTCTTGTAGTAGCAGGTTATTATTAATAACTCGCCTTTAGTTAAATATGAGGAGCGTACTTATTTAGTTTTTAAAGTGTGTGAACATAAAACCTGCAGCTCACAGCTGGTGTTGACGGAGGGGGTCACAAGATGGCGCCGCTTCATTCATCTGTTACAACTTCCTGTTCGGCCTTTTTGTTTGTCAATAAAAACACTTTGATTTATTAAAATTCATAAAATTATCTCAAAACATTCTGCGAGCACTGAAAGGGTCGAGGTTATGAATTTACACCGACCACCTCTGAGGACACTGTGGGGGCTCCGGCCCAAAACAAGCCACTTGTTGAGGAACCCCGCGGGGGTGGGGGGGGTGGGGGGTCATCTGATCTCTCTCCCCCCTTCAACCACCTAAAAAGGTTGGTTTGAGCAGCTGCTGCTGAGCCCCCGCTAAGAATAACCTGAACTTCAGGGGGGTGGGGGGGGTGAAGTTAACCTCAAGTTATCTGCTCTATCCCCATGTGAGGCACCAATAACAGGGGTGGGGGGGCCCTCGCCCTGCCCAGCCCCTGTGCTTAGCTCGGCCTTTTCCTCCCCTGCAGACCCCCCCAACTAAACGCTGCCGATCTGGCAGCTCCAAATTTCCCCTGTGAGCTTTCAATTTATTTATTATTATTTATATTCCTTTTTTTTAAATTTTTTTTATTTCCTTTTCATTTCTTGGACGCCAATAAAGAAAGAAGCCTCTGATCAACAAGTGGAAATGGATTAATTCACCGACTGCGAGTTTATTTATTATTTTGAATAACTGGAGACTGAAGCTGTTCCAGCCGGTTGTACATGAGGAGGCTTCGTGTGTAGCTCAGAGGATCCTACAGCTGAAACCATGGCTGAAGGTAGGACTGCTGTAAAACACACGAGCTCCATCATTAACGAGTAAAATACATGTAAAGGATGTTTTGATGTCCTCCATGAAGTAAGTGCTGAAAACTGGTGGCTATAAATATAAGATATCATATTGCAGGAGAGCTGGTCTCCTGTAACAGACGTGACTGCTGCTGCTTAATAAAGAACATGGAAATATTAATATGAAATAACGTTTCCTCGCGTCCGCTCTAAAAAAGTTACATTAACTTTAAATCTTTTTTTTTAAATAACCTGATCTGTAACAGCCAGATCATAAAGTCACATTTAATGTGAATATGAACAAATAAATAGCACAATGTACTGCCTTACGGCGCTTCATGGCACAGCTTTAGTTCACATACGTTTTTACGTCTAATGACTGAGTCTGTTTACGCCTCTGGGCTTCAGCAGAGTTATTAAAAATACATTAACAGGCAGGTTTTGTTGAGAGCTGCTGCAGTCGTGTAACGTGTAGAAGCTGTTCCTCAGTCTAGTGGTTCTACACTTAATGCTCCTCATCCTCCTTCCTGAGGGGAGCAGGGCAAAACGTGTGTGTGCTGGGTGAGTGGGGTCCTTCGTGATGCTTCGTTAAACAGGAGTTATACATTTGTATGTCAGTGTTGAAGGAAAAACAAACTTAAATTCTTGTTATGACAAAGTGCTTGCGATTCAAAGTTTCCGTGAACTCAAACGTAGACGACTGAGCAACATCTACTGATGTTTTCACAAATAGCTCATGAAAAGTCGTTTTACTCAAGAACTTTATTTGTTGTTTCTGTCACTGATCCGAAGTCAGTTCGGCTCCTTTGACAAAACACATTTCAGTGCAGCAGAGTCTCTTGTCAAATGGGATCAGTGTCAGCACACAACCAGAGACGTAAAGAGTTTTAATTATCTGATTAGAAGGATCATTCCTTGTTCTCAAGATAAGAACACGTTCTCTTTTCAGAAATACTAGCAGCAGGATAAAAACTCATTTACAGCAGCTGATGGGTGCTGCTCAGTAAGTGTAGGACCTCAACAACCTTCACTCTGTTGTTGTAGTTGTTTCCCAAACTACTTGTTCTTATTGTGTTATTGAATTTGTTTTATAATTTTCTTTAGTCGCATGGTTCTTTCTTGCATCTGAAACAATTATGGAAATTGTGTGGTATGGCAAGCAGTTTGTGTATTTATTCAATATTCTTTATATCAAGGATCATTTTAAGTTCAAGTTGGTTTTATTGTCATTCTCATCATATGTGGTACATGAGGTGGAACAAAATTGTGTACACAGGGTCCCAGTTACATCCAACAAGAACAAAAATATAAACTAAAAGAAAGAGTAAATAAAGATCTAAGATATAAACTGAGGACTACACTAAACACTAACAGTGCAAAACAATATGCTGAACAACAGCAGCACGAACATGAGTCTGTGTGAGTAGATGAGTATGAAGAACACAGCAGCATGAAATAAATCAGCAGCATGAGATCAGCAGCATGGATAATCAGCAGCATATCAACAATCAAAGTGGCATTATAGTGTTTTTTTATCCGGATTAGAGATTCATGAGTCTAACAGCCTCAGGGTAGAAGCTGTTCCTCAGTCTAGTGGTTCTACACTTAATGCTCCTCAACCTCATTCCTGAGGGGAGTGGGGCAAAAAGTGTGTGTGCTGGGTGAGTGGGGTTCTTCATGATGCAGGTGGCCCTCTTCCTGCATCTGGAGGTGTAGATGTCTGTGATGGTGGGGAGGCTGACTCCAACATCTTCTGTGCAGCCTTCACCACTCTCTGCAAAGCTTTTCTTTATTTTTAACCAACTAGTTCAAACGTACTGCACCAGTTTCTAATCAGGTCGCACTGATTTACTGTTTTGGTGCATTATTTCACAAAAACTCTCACTCATGACACCTTTGGGCCAACTAGTAGCACTTTTGCTCTACTAATTGAAACAGAAGTTAGACTAGTCAGCCATTTTGCTGCACTCAGTCTGAATGTTGTAACTAGTTGGCTTTTCAACGCACTAGTGGACAATTTGACTAAACTAGTTAACTGTTTTGTACAAGTATGCATCAAAGCCGATGTATGTTAACTAATCAACACAACTGATCCCTACTAGTCGACTGGTGCCAAATTGAAATTTAACATTGATAGTTGACCAGCCAACTAGTTTAAATTTTTATGTGCATTATCCAACTAGTAGTCAACTAATGGGCAAAACTAGATAACTAGTGAGGCCAAATTTCATCACAATGTTTAACCAATGCATGTTTTGAGCCATACTAGTTAACTATAAAACATTTTAAGCCAGTATTTTTCAAAGTGGGGGCCGCCAGAAGCTAATGATGTGTGGGGGGCCATGGCATGGAAAAGTCTGGGAACCCCTGTTTAAGCTACTAAACTAGTTGACTAGTTAATGTTTTTAGGTGCACTACTGCACTAGTAAAGACATAAATGTGTCAAATAGTCAACTAGTGTGTTACTAGTATAACCAGTAAGACTGTTAGTTGAACTAACGCACCATAAAGTTAACCCAGTGCAACAAAATGTGCAACTATTGCAGCATATTTGCAAACCAGTGGGTTCAAACTAAGGCTTGATATTAAGAATATTGAATAAATACACGACCTGCTTGCCGTACTGCAGTCTAAGCCAGGTGCAGCAGATAAGCCTCATTCATTAATGACTCCCATCTTTTTCAGAGTTTCAGTCTATTCCCTCGAGGTTTTCAGACGTAGGATTCATGAATAAAAAAGGTTTTGTCTGAAACTTAGATACGTTTTAATAAAGTTACGCTCTGATTGTTAAAATTTATTCTGATGGTAGCTTCTTTTTTTGCTCATATATACCATACCATACCAATTTATTTATAGAGCACTTAAAACAGCAACAAGGCCAACCAAAGTGCTGTACAAAAGAAAACAAACATGCACAGCAGACAGGAAAACATAAAATAGAAATACAGATACAAATAGCTGCAGAAGCTAACTAAAATGGCCAACAGAGTAGAGAACAGACCGGACCAAAACAAATTACACCGTGTTAAAGGCAAGAGAATAGAAGTGGGTCTTCAAGCGAGACTTAAAGACTGAGAGTGTGGGAGCCTGCCGGACACTCAGTGGCAACTCATTCCACAGTCGTGGACCTGCAACAGAGAAAGCCCTGTCACCTCTGAGCTTACGACGGGTTTCTGGGACTGAGAGAAGCATCTGGTCTGCTGACCTCAGAGAGCGCGGTGGGACATATGGCTGCAGAAGATCAGTGAGATAGGATGGGGCGGAACTGTTCAGTGATTTAAAAACATACATGAGAATTTTGAATTGGATCCGAAGGTGAATGGGTAGCCAGTGCAGGGAGGCCAAAACTGGCGTGATGTGCTCTCTATAGCCTGTACCAGTTAAAAATCGGGCTGCAGCATTTTGGACCAGTTGTAGACGAGCAATGGAGGACTGACTGATTCCAAACAGAAGTGAATTGCAGTAATCAAGCCTAGATGTTATGAAGGCGTGGATCACTGTCTCAAGGTTCTTTTTGGAGAGTATAGGCTTCAGCTTAGACAGCCGTCTCAGCTGAAAAAAACTGGATTTGACCATCATGTTTACGTGACTGTTGAGTTTTAAGGACGGGTCCATTATCACCCCCAGATTAGTGACCTTTTGTTTCTCTAGCGAGGCTAGAGAGAAAAGGTCAATGTCATGGTTCATGAGTGAGCCACTGGGATGGAACAGCATGACTTCAGACTTCTTCTCATTGAAGCTTAAGAAGTTTAAAGCCATCCAGTCCCGGATGTCAGCCAGGCAGTCAAGAAGAGGCTGAATAGAGCGTGTGCCTCTGTGCCTCAGGGGGAAGTAAATTTGGCAATCATCGGCGTAGAAATGAAAGGGTATGTTGTGTTTGCGGAAAATAGCACCTAGTGGCAGCAGGTATAAAGAAAAGAGAAGGGGACCGAGGATGGACCCCTGCGGTACCCCCCACTGGAGTGCGGTCGATGCCGAACTAAAATCTTTGATATTGACACAGAAGGTTCTGTCAGAGAGGTAGGACCCAAACCATTTAAGGGCTGACCCTGTGATGCCCACCCACTTCTCCAGTCTAGAAATGAGGATCTTGTGGTCGATGGTGTCAAAAGCAGATGTAAGGTCCAATAGGACCAACAGCACAGAATCACCTGCGTCTGTGGATATGAAAATGTCGTTAAAAATCTTCAGTAGAGCAGTTTCAGTGCTATGGAGAGATTTGAAGCCAGATTGGAATAACTCAAGGATAGCGTGATCCCCCAAAAACTGTTTCAACTGAGACTCCACAATTTTTTCCAGTAGTTTAGAGGTGATATATGGGAGTCCTGGTGTATTTTGATCACATGCTCATTATGTTTTAAGCTTATTTATGCTGACATGTTTTTGTTCTTGTAAATGGAGGGTGTCTTAGACTAAGATGGACTTGAAAATTAAAAAAAAAGTGTCTAAATGTGAAATTTTTACGTGCCAACCTGTTTTCTAGCTCATCCTCTTAAATGTCATTCCCCACACACAGCAGCCAAACCCAGCTGTGTGGGAGCAGCTGGAGGGTCCGGGGGGGCAACACAGACCAGCTCTCTCAGAGCCAAAGCTCTGGAGCTCCTCAGGAAGCTGAAGATGTCCGTGGAGCTGCTGATCGCCCTCGCTGCTCTCCTGTCCTGGGTTGTTGTGGGTGTGATCATGTTTGACTTTGTGGAATACAAAGCAGTACCTGGTAAGTTCAGAAGTCCCTGAAAGTGTGGCAGCTCACGAGCACTTCAGCATTTCACGCAGCTTTTTTTTTTTATCCCCACGTTTTCAGACATCCAGCAAATCATAACGGACCCAGTTCAAGCTGTAAACGACGCCGTGGATGAAGTGTCGAGCCTTCTCAATAAGTTCCAAGGTATGTTTTTGAACGTGGCAAACATTTTGCGCGCACATCAACACAAGCACTAAAACGCTGACTCCTTGTTTTCAGAATGTGCCCCTGATTTAAGTGACCCCATGTCTGCTGCTGCGTACGCAGCGGAGGAAATCAGAGAAGCGAAAGACGGCTTTGTTCGCTATTATTCAGACGAAGAAGGTATAAAAAATGAATTCAAGCAAAGTGAGCGCACCACAAACAAGTCTTTTTTTATTCTCATGTAACCAAAACGTCCGTATGCACCACAGGAAATTTTTACCTCAGCTACGTAGACCCTGCAGTTATCGGTAAAAGAGCTTTCCATTCAACCAGTGACTTCCTGGGTGGAGTGCTGGAGCACCTCAGGGACGCGCTGGGAGCTGTTGTGGATACTGTAACAGAGACCACTCTGGATATAAGAAAAGGTTTGTCTTCCTATTGATTCACGTCTCACTTGCATGTTTTGATGTTTCACACAGCATCAAATGATATTTAATCTACCTTCACTTAATTCTTTTTCTTCTGACTGTCTGGTTTGTTGAGGTAACTGAACTCTTTCCTTAATTTGGCCTTTTTGGTTTCTCAGGAAAAACTGATCTGAGCTTCGTTGATCCTGTTGTAATCGGCAGAGGTGTCATCAGCGCCACTAACAAGTTCACATGTGAGGTGGTGAGCTGCGTTCAGGGTGTGCTCTGCTTCGTACTGGACTCTATACTGGATGTGGTGAAAGGTATTGAAATGGGTTTGATTCATCTGCAGCTTCTTAACGTCTGAGAACATCCTCAACGGTTTTTATTGGTGCCGCTTCTTTTTCTTCTTCCTGTCTCTCAGGAACAACCGACTTCAGCTTCATCGATCCGGTGGTTATAGGCAGGAAGGCGTTCAACGTTTTAAACGAGACGGTTTCTGGAATAACAGTTTACATCCAGGACACGCTCTGTGCCGTCCTAGACAGCGTGCTGGATGTATGCAAAGGTACAAGCTATTTTATTTCATTGTTTCAAATCATATCAAAAGAGCGTGTCCACATTTAACATTTACAGTCACATTACATGACACAATGGCATGCCATACCGCTCGAGTGCCATCTAGCAGCTGAAAATGGTAGTGTTCAATATTTTCAGTCAGAATGAATGAAAACAGTCGTATCTCAGCCAAGAATTGGATTATAAATATGGGAAAAGTCCATTAATATGTCGCTTTGGCGTATAAGTCACAGGGCAATATGCAAAAAACTGTGACTTATAGTGCGAAAAGTACAGTAAGCAGAAATGAGCACATTTTGGAAATTAGCTAATAAAAGTTGAAATTAGCAGAAAGTAGCTGAGTACCACTTCACAATAAGGCTCCCCTTATACATGCTAATAAATAGTTTATAGAGACATTATTAATTCCTCTATTAACACTTTATAAATCATTATCAGTTTATTGTGCATTAGTTAAGGTGACTGAGAGACAAAACTGACCAGTTTCTTGTCAAATAGTGAGTCAAATCCGTTCACCTACATATTTCATCTAGAATTGTTATATTAAATAAATGTTAAATGTTTTTCAGACTCAGTTACTGTAAGCACAATAATTATCTGTAAATCTATTTCTTTAGCATATAATATTGTACTTGATCACTGCAATATATACCTTTAATGCAGTACCAGTAGCTGAAAAGGCAGAAAGAAGCTGAAACTATGAGAAGGATATGGAAGGAGCTGAAATGAGCTCAAAAAATGAAAACAGCCAAAAAGTAGCCGAAAAAGCTGAAACTAGCAGAAAAAAGCTGAAAGTTGCACAACAAGCTGAAATTAGAAAAACAAGTTAATTAGGCTGAAAGTAGCAGAAATTACCATGAAAATTTTGAATTTATGTGAAAACAGCTGAAATTAGCTAAGAAATAAATAAAACCCATAATTTATTGCATTTACTTTTTTTTTGAGAGAGAGATCTGGTCAGTAAATTTTTAACTCATGAGTTGGAAGCTGCGCAGCATGGTGGCGCAACTGGTAGAGCTGCTGCCTCTCAGCGAACAGGTCCTTGGTTCAAACCCCGGTCCAGGGGCCTTCTGGGTGGAGTTTGCATGTTCTCTCCGTGCATGCGTGGGTTTTCTCCGGGTACTCCGGTTTCCTCCTACAGACCAAAAACATGCATGTTAGGCTGATTGGTAACTCTAAATTGTCCCTAGGTGTGAGTGAGAGAGTGAATGGTTGTTTGTCTCGTTTGTCTCTATGTGTCCCTGTGATGGACTTGCGACCCGTCCAGGGTGTACCCCGCCCCTCGCACAGTGATTGCTGGACATGGGCACCAGCGACCCCCGTGACCCAAAATGGAATAAACGGGTAAAGATAATGGATGGATGGATGAGTTGGAAGCTTGAACATTCGTTGCAACTTTCTGTAAACTCAACTAAACGGTTCAGTAACCTGAATGTTGATTAGTTTGACCTAAGGCTTCGTCCTGATGGTGAGACCTTCTCCTCAGGAACAATCGACGTGAGCTTCATCGACCCTGTGGCCGTCGGCAGAAACGTTTTCACAGTTTCTAACGACGCCGTGAGTGGAGCAGCAGGATACGTCCAGGATGTGCTCTGTGCCGTTTTGGATGTGACACTGGATACGTTCAAAGGTACTGATTCAGTCGTGTTTCATTTACATATTCTGCTCCAGTTTTCACAAAGTCCTTGACCTTTTCCACGTTTCTTATTGATCAGATCTCCAGCAGGCTGTGGGTTTCAGCCCCTTATCAGTCCTGAAGACAGCAGCAGAAACCACCAAAGAACAGATCACTGTGCTCCTGGGCTTCCTCTCCTCAGCACTGGTTGGTGATCAAGGTCTGCCCAGGTCTAAAACAAAAGACATTTGTTGTTTTCTATAAGAATATTCTACTTTCTGACTCCTGCTTTGGTTTTCCAGGTATCTTGCCTGAAGTGTCCGTTGACCCACTGAAAGTGGTGGAGGATGCAGTGTTGGAGTTCTCTGACAAGAAGGATCTGTTCGTGGGTTACATGTCAAGCATGCTCGTTGGCGACCAAGGTGTTTGTTTCTACAAATAAAATTAAAGTAATTCAGTAAAAAAAAAGTTTTAAACTGACATCTGATGCTGAATTTCTCTGGTTTCAGGTGAACCTGTCGCCTCTCCGGTCGTAAACGTAGTCCCTGAAACAGGTTCCACTTTCATTTACTTTTGACGCCCACAGCAACTTATTGTAGCTTTTTTATGAATATTAATCTTCTGACACCTGCCTCCGTCTTTGTTTAGATGAACCTGTAGTTTCTCCAGCTGATATCAAGCTGATCAGAAAGAAAGGTAAGAACACAAGTTTTTATATTTCCTTGTCAAAGTCGGACCCGGTGCCAGAGGAGATTACAACACCATGTAAATAAGTTGAACCTATGCAATGTATTGACTCAAACCAACCAGCAGAGGGAGCTGTAGGCGATTAAACTGGACTTTTAGAGAAGGATCTAACCAGGAAAGACTGAGTGGACGGACAGATTATTAAGAAGATTTCAATCATCTTCTGTGTTAGACCTGAATAGACCAGTACAGCCAGAGGGATTCCTTACTCGAGTCTGAAAAGATGAACCTGTTCAACTCATTTTTACCACAGAGAGGCAGAAAATCTGATTATTCAGTTCAATGATTGTTTAAAGATGGATTTTCCACTGAGATTTTTTAATTTGATGTCAGGTTTGTTCAACAAAAGAGTGGAAATGTTAAAAATGTTCAGTATTTTTTAAAAACATTTTCACCTCTCTTCAGGAGTTCATGTACTTTTAAGCTTCTGGTGTTTCAAACACAACGATTAATGCTAGTTTCGAAGATTTATGCAAAAATTGTTTATGCAAACTTGAGCACAATTTCTCAACATTTTCTGGTGACTACACGTCACTGTTTAAGTTATTGTTTTGTATTAATAAACAACATACAGTTATTTCAATGGTAAAGTTACGTAAATATTTATAAAATAAAATGACTATTTACTGGGCCCCCCCAAAATATTCTTCAGCCCCCCCAGCTAAATTCTTCTGGAGCCGGATCTGGTCAAAATACAAATACTTATTTCTCAAGAATAAAGTAAAATGCTTTATTTTTATATATTTTTTATTTATTTAGGTGATTTTCTACCTCCAGCTGAAAAAGGTAAGCAAACGTCTGAGTTTGGGGCTTTTTCTTGAATCAGCTGTAAACTGCACCGCCAGCTCGAGCGCATAGACAGCTGAAGGTTTCTCATGCACGGCTGCAACAATCTGCAGATTTAGAGCCAAACTGTGCAACTTTATTTATTTCTGTTGTTGTTATTATGGCCAAACTTCTGTCTTGTGAAAGTTTGTGTTGTCTCATTGAATTTTAATATTTCGTGGCATGGATCAAAACATAACCTGAATCTTTGTGGGAATGAATGTGTTGAGCAACAACACCGTTTGTGATTTGTTATAACTCGTGTGCATTAATATATATTTTATAATATATATATTTAATATATTGTCACAGTTCGTGTTGAGTCTACTTGTTTTGTTTTTACTGAAAAGTTATTTTATGCAACATGAGACTTCATTAATGAACGAATGTGCCCGTCTGAGGATTTTTCGTGCCTTTTTCTTTGTATATCTGTCGTTTGCATCGCATCTCTGTAAATAAAATCTTTTTTTTTCACATTTTTAACATATTTTAAATACATTTTCTGTTATATGTGCACAGTAAGTGCAGTCAAGGCAGAAAATATTTGAACACTTACACTAAGTTTAATACTAACCAACTAGTTTCTGTTTTTTGTAATTTAAATGTGGATTCAAAGCACACTTTTAAATTACCATCACGATAAATTACAATACGCAAATAAATTACGATTAAAGAAAAAGACCCTCCTAAATTTAGCCTATTCATGTTCATGATAAAAAATGCTCAGGGGGCTTTCTAGGGTCAAACACTGAAGGAGGTTCAGTGATAAAAATGTTTTACTTTGTCACACGATGTATTTAACTACGTATAATAATTATATATTTTTTGAAGATAGCGATATGTCCCAAGTCTAATAGTAAATAAATTAAGTCCAATAAACAAATAAAAAAGGACTGCAAACTGTCACTAGCAAGAAAATAAAGAAAAAAGCTTTTTACTTTGGCTAATCCTGTTTCATAAAGATACAATTTATTGGTCATATAGCACCTAGTTGGACAACACAATATATTATTATTGAACCAAACGAAGCCAGTCTAACATAACATATTTCATATTTGTGTAATTTGTGGTCAGTAAAATAAATAACGTAACTTCCACCACTTTAAACCCACCTTTAAATGTATTATAAGGCAAAAGAAGCGTCACTAACTGCAGCATGATTTATTATTAAATCATTTATCCGTACTATTGTTGCTGCTTGAAATTGCTTCTGTAGCCAAGAAAATAAAAGCAAATAAAACGATAGTCTCCGACTGATGATGAGGCTTCCTGATACAGTTACAGAGATGATGCAGACTGATGAAGATGAAGCTGCTGCAGAGTTAACTGCAAACACAAAAACAGACGAGTTGGAGGCCGAAGAGCGCGCTGAAGCTGCCGCTGAAGCAGAAGTGGCCAAGACAGAGGAGGATGAGGGTATTCAGACGTTTGTTTCATTCTTTCAGTCACACACGGTCATTTTAAAAACAGTAAAATTAATATTATCACATCACTAGTGACACATGTTGAAGAAAGGCAACGTGAGACTTCACTGACGGAGGAAATATTAGATGAAGAAAGCAAAGAGGAAGAGCTTCCAGATGAGGAGGAAGAAGAGGAGGTTGGAACAAAGGAGGACACAGAACAACTGGCTCAAAAAGAAGAGCTGAAAAAGGAGGAAGACGGTGGAGAGAAGGACGAGTTGAAAACAGGAAAAGAACAAGAAGAAAAGCATCCTGGGATTGAGAAGAGCTTGGATGAGGAGGATGAACAGATCCAAATAGGAGAGGGAGAGGTCAAAGATGGAGAGAAGGAGGAGGAAGAGGAGGACGCAGTAGAGGAGAAGGAATCAGTGGAGGAGGAGGAAGCAGTGGAGGAGGAGGAAGAGGAGGAAGCAGTAGAGGAGAAGGAATCAGTGGTGGAGGAGGAAGCAGTGGAGGAGGAGGAAGAGGAGGAAGCAGTGGAGAAGGAGGCACACCCTCAAACTGAAGAACATCTAGAAGATGATGAAACTAAAACTGAAGACTTTTTCGTCAAAGAGGAGGAGGAGAAACACCAAAGTGAAACTCTGGTGCAAAGTAAAAGAGTGGAAGAGGAGGAGGAACCTGAAACTGAGGACCATTTGTCCAAGGAGGAGGAGGAGGAAGCAGTGGAGGAGGAAGAAACTCCCCAAACTGATGAACATATAGAAGATGATGAAACTAAAACTGAAGACTTTTTGGCCAAAGAGAAGGAGGAGGAGGAAAAAAACAAAACTGAAGATCTTGTCAAAGATGAAGCATCTGAAGTAAAACCTGAAACTGAGGATCATTTGGCTAAAGAGGAGGAGGAGGAGGAGGAGGAAGAGGATGAGGAACCTGAAACTCTGGACCATTTGGCTAAAGAGGAGGAGGAGGAGGAGGAAACTAAAACTGAAGATCTTGTCAAAGATAATGCATCTGAAGTAAAACCTGAAACTCTGGACCATTTGGCCAAAGAGGAGGAGGATGAGGAACCTGAAACTCTGGACCATTTGGTCAAAGAGGAGGAGGAGGAGGAGGAGGAGGAGGAGGAGGAGGAGGAGGAGGAGGAACCTGAAACTCTGGACCATTTGGCCAAAGA